TGCAGCCCTTAATACTTTTTGCACAACGATTATGCTTCCAAAAGGGTTTACATCCAGTCACATAGATAGTCCTGACTTCATGGAATCTACTGATGTGTTATGAGTGTCAGTTACACTCAGTTTTGATCAAGTTATGGACAGAATAAATCTCGCATGACATTTTTGATGTAAAATGCGCTTTTCTTAGGAACGAAGCGTTTCTGAAAGCTCGTTTTTTTGAAACTGTGACAAAATTTTCAGAAGTGTCTGTAACAGCAGTTTTTCCTCGAGCTTTTATGGAAAACTTAATTTTACTTGAAATCAAAGTACATAATTTGAAAGCCTTGTTTTCGGGCTACAAATTCCATTAAAGTGTAATTTAGTAATCTTTAAACAGGATAGAGGAAAACTCCCGTTTCTTTCGAGAGGCGGCGCCAAAATTACTCTGTTTTGGCCTTGTTTCGTTCATATCTCGACAACCAAATGAGATAGACACTTTTATTTTTTAGTACTGAATAACCATTTAATTGTCCATTAACAGCCTGTTAACTGTATGCCAAAAAATAGCCTGTTAATTGTGTAAAAATCGAATGAAAATTGTCATTTAACAGCCATTACAATGAGAATGGCATTTTCGTCCATTTATTAGACCGCGTTAACTAATGCCAAATAAATGTGGCCGTTAAATGTCCGTTTTTTCTCCATTTCAATATGGCAAAAAACTGGTCATAAAATGCCATTTAACAGTCAGTTTATGGTCACCAAGTCATTCACCGTTTTATTCTGCTGTCGTGAATAGTATAACTGACTCTGATTTTCCTAAAATAATTTAAAGTGTTTTTCGGCTTCAATTATACGAGTCATAGAAACTTGCCTCGAAGAAGTGGTCTATGGTTCTTGACTCGATGCAGGTGATAGTACCTCAGGTTCAGAAGATATTTTTTTGACATTTTCTAACGATCTAACAATTGTTATTTAAATGGCAAAAAAATGTGACCAGTAGGGTTACTGGAAGCAGTTAAATGGCTGTTATTTGACCGTTTTTTGACATTTAAAAAAATGCATTTAAACGTTCCCAGTTATAATGGTAAAAAACGGCCTAGAAACGGGGTCAAATGTCATAAAAATGCCACTTAAATGCTTATTAACAGCGTATTAAATGGCATTTAATTGGCAATTAATTACCGTTTTCGACGTCCTGGGTCTTTTCTGTATCTTTTTTATCATATATTAAGTGTTTTGAAATAAACAGAAGTCACTTTTTAAAACACGCAACATTATGTTATTCATTCTTCAACTTTTCTTATTCTTAATAGTCTTTCTTTTGTTTCTTATTCTTCATCGCTCGCTGGTTTAATGTATGTATACATGTTAATTTTCGCCTTATCAGTGTATTTGTGACAGAACGCAAAAGTATAAAAGGAGACTGACTATACATGATTAACTATTCTCACTCTTTTTACGAGTGATATTTTGTATAGAGTGATACTACTTTTTTAACTATCATATACGATGGACAAGGAGACGAAAATTATTGACGTGCGTGATTTGAATACGCCCGATAATTGGATCGAACGTGCTCCAGAATTAATTCGACTGACCGGGAATCATCCGTTCAATTGTGAGCCACCTCTTACAAAATTACTGCAATGTGGTTTTTTGACTCCAACAAGATTACATTTTGTTCGAAATCATGGCTATGTACCAAAAATTGATTGGAATGAACATCGTGTTCGTGTTTGTGGGTGAGTTCGACAGTTAACGGTGGTGTAAAATGAATGGCGGTCTCAGTAGTTTCTATTTTTCTAAGGTTAGTGTTTTTTTTAACAGATGTCCCGCGAAATACTCTACAAAACCATACATAAACTTTAATTTCAGAGCTTCAATCAAGAAAACTAAGCAAATTATAGGAAAAACGAGAAAAAATTAAAACTTTTTAAAGTCAAAAACGATTTCTTGTGTTAACATTTTAATAGTAAGAAAACCTGAATCATCCATCCATTATGCAGTCCTGACTTCTCTCTATCTTTTAGCTACACTTCACATTTTTTCACATCAAAACTCATAGAAAAGTAATCATTTTTTTATTTGTTAACACGCATTTTTTCATTAATTTTTCAAATTCTGGCTATAGTGGTGAACCTGAAGAACAAACAGTAACGGCGATCATTTCTTTTAAAGATACTTTTAGAGTAAAGGTACTTTTGATCACCAAAAAAAGATACTTTTGATCACCAAACGCTTTTAGATACAAATGATCACCAAGAAAAGATACTTTTGATCACCAAATTTTTTAGATACAAATGATCACCAAAAAAAGGTACTTTTGATCACCAAACGCCTTT